TCATTTGACATAAGCAAAGATCCTCTATATCAAAATAACATTTCTGATCAACAATATCACTTAAAAGCTGACTATATCTATGCTCCTTTGAAACGTGGAGCAAAGTTTTCATTAAATAACCCAATTACAATTATGTTACTGTAAATCCTGTCAAATATTGTGAAAATCTGAAATTTATAGTTCTTGACAAATTTTGCATTAAAATGAACCAAGAAGATTTGTAAAATGAGTTATGAAACTTGTAAAAGCCTGTTCAAGTATTGATATTAAGTGTATTTTTAAAATCTGAAACTAATAAAATTTTGGGCAGCCGATTGACACAAACCAGGAAATAAATGGAATCTAGCTTGACTCTATAAATAAACCAAGTACTAACAATTCAAACTGCAAAATGAAATCCGAAATCCAAAACAACATTTTGATGAAACATTGGTACCAGCTTATGAACTTTTCGCGTGAGGAAATTACTGCTCAACATACACACCACACACTACAAATAGGATTGAGCAAACAGAAGAAGCAGCAACTTGACGACGAATTTAAAAAGTTCAAGGGATGTAACTGATGAATATAATTTCGATAGTTCAAAGGGCATAATAGGATGAAAATACATTTCTCCAATTTGAAGGGAGGTAACTGATTATAATAATTGTTATATAAGAAAAAATATTGTGAAGCATTTGATCATGAAAATTGGCATCAAGTGATCATAAGAGTAAGCATACCCTGTCTGAAACCACACCTTTCATAGCTGCTAATGAAATAGGGAGGCAAAACAAAACCTAGTGTTAAGTAAAATTATAGAATGATATGGTGGCAACTCAACATATTATTGTGACAAGTTTAAAATTGAATGTAAAGCAGAAAAATCTGTGATGATAGCAGAAACAGATATTTTATATTCTTCAATTAGTTCATGATGGTGGTCAATCACTTTTGAGAAAGATGATAATGTAATTGATATTTTGATAACTCAACTTCATTGTTTGCATGAAGATACCTGAATGAAGTAAAACACCAAAATTAAAAAACTTATGTGAATAAAAAGGATAAAAGAAATTACTGATTGGTAAAATACCTAATATGAAACCCTTACTGAACACTACTATTCTAGAGTACATGAGCCCAATAGGTCGACAAAACTTTGTCTGAGTGTTTGTAATCACCCAAGGATGAACCCTATTGAATATCAGAAAAATTGGGAAAATTTTTTATCAGTTATTGCCCTTCATCTTAAAAACGTGTTTAATTTTAAGTTGTAAACTGTCTAAAATGCACAAATCTTGATGGATTTAGATGAACTTGGTGAAATTGTTTATTATTGTTATGAACTATTGAAAGTAAAAAACAGTTCTTGACAGCTCATTCAACTTTAAGCCTGTAAAACATCTTACAAGTACAATTCTTGACGGTTTAAGACAGAACTTGGTGCAAATGTTTATTGTTACCCAATGATGGACCCTGTTGAAAATGAAAATACTTAATGTGGGCTATTGCGCTTGGTAATAATTAACAGTTAATTATTAACAGATTTTAAAGAAATTTGGTGGAATTGTTTATTATCACTGGAGAATTACATTACTATTATGGGCGTATTACAATGGCCATCGCTTTCTTTAAAGGAACAGGTTACATTTATTCTCTAATTTATTAGTTTGAGCCTGTTACATGGTTGAAGTCTTCAATTAAAAAATTATCCCATGAATACGCATTTAATCCAGAATATAGGAAACTCACCAATGTATTATAATCCTATTATTAATACTTGAATTTAAGGAGGTTTCATACTTGATGTGCTTCAAACTTGTTATGGTTTTAGTGACATTTTATTCAGGAGTGTTTGGAAATGTCAATGTAGTTTTCAAAGGTTACAAATTATTACTGTGATTGGTATAATTTAGATGAAAATTATCAGGGTACATTAGTCTCATTTCTTCAGTTGAGAATTAGTTAAGGCATAGTTTCATTTGTTGTGTTGTTCAAATTTTAGTGAAACTGGATACAATTTTATGGGTAACAATTATCCTTAATTAATAATGTGTTTAACCTAATGGTTATATGGTTTTATTTATCTTGATAAATTGCTAGCAATGTTACCCTGGTCAAGCAATAATCAGAAAGAAACATTGCAAGTTATTGATAAAAAGGAAGAGTATGCACCAGTAGCAAAATAACAAAAAAAAATCATCTTTTTTTTTTACAGATTTCTCTAGTTCTGTTCAGACTGTAGCACCATTCTTGTTTTTTTTTCGCTAATGTTGATATTCTTTGTTTTATGATCTTGAATAGCTAGTAATTTTGAAAAAAATATTCTGATTCTCAATTTTTTTTTTTTAGTATAAATCTGCTTTTTCATATATTTTAGAAAGATATTAAAAGTATATATAGTAATTTCAGAAGAGCATGTTTATACTAGGAAAAACTATTTCATCAAAGCTGACAATTATCTTGAAAAGAGCATTGGCAAAATTGACTTCTATTTACATTTACGCAGAAACAGTTCAATGATGTTATTGCCCGTTTCAGTTTTCGAGTTCTATCAAAAATATAAGTGTGAGGGTGTGAGATATATTATTAGAATCAATAATATATATGAGTCATTAGATATATGATTATAAAACAGGTGGTACACAATGTAACATACAGGGTAATCAAATTAAATTGGACAAACGACTATCTATAGAATAAATAAATAAGTTTTTTTCATGATAACATAATATATAGATGTTTCCAAAACACATTTCTTTCCTTGAGAATGTCTTTCTCTAGAGACTGTAGATGTATATATCAGGTTATAACAGACACTGGTATTCCACCATATTGTGATAAATCTTGATGTGTTTTGATGAATCTCATTATAGTATGATATCTTGGTATAAATCTCAGTGTATTACAATATCTTGGGATAATTGTCAGTGTATAACTATATCTTACAATATTTTGGTATAAATGTCAGTGTATAACTATATCTTGGTATAAATGTCAGTGTATAACTATATCTTGGGATAAATGTCAGTGTATAACTATATCTTGGGATAAATGTCAGTGTATAACTATATCTTGGGATAAATGTCAGTGTATAACTATATCTTACAATATCTTGGTATAAATCTCAGTGTATAACTATATCTTACAATATCTTGGTATAAATCTCAGTGTATAACTATATCTTGGGATAAATCTCAGTGTATAACTATATCTTGCAGCATCTTGGGCTCAGTGTATTACAATATCTTGGGATATATCTCAGTGTATAACTATATCTTACAATATTTTGGGATAAATCAACAAAAACGTTATTTGCTGTCACCCCTGTCTGTCTGTGAACACAATAGAGACTACAGTTTTTATCTGATTTTAATGAAACTTGATGTGATGATGTATATTGATGAGATCTTGGTCAAGATCGAATTTGACAATTTTTCGATGAATATTTTTTGAGTTATTGCCCTTGACTTAGGAAAAACGCGCCAAAATTTGTTTGTGAACACAATAGAGACTACAGTTTTCAACCGATTTTAATTAAACTTGATGTGATGATGTATGTTGATGAGATCTTGGTTAAGTTTGAATTTGACAATTTTTCAATGGACAATTTTTGATTTATTGTTAGATAAAATGCTTCAAAATTTGTTCATAAACACAATAGGGACTACAGATTTCATGTGCTTTTATGATGAATGAAATGAAATGAATGGAGTTTTACGTCATTTTATTTATATTGATGAGATCTTTGTCAAGTTTGAATTTTCAATAATTTCAATATTAACAATTTTTTGCCCTTGATATTAGAGCTGTGTGATTTAATAATTTGATGAATTTGATGAATTTGAGTTATTGATATTGATTTTAAAAAATTTTGTGGAATTACTCAGCATAAATAACTGGAAGTAAATATATATATAATTGAATTCAAACTAATAAATTTTTTAATATAAGAAAATTCGTAATTTAGTCTCTAAAGACTATATTATCATTTCTGACAGCTGCCAGTGGGCATATGTTACCTTTCCTCGCAAGCTATCTTTATTAAACTTTTAAGTTCTAATTTCTAAAAATCACATTTGCCTGTGTCACTTATTTCCCTTTAGAATCTCTTATAGTTACAGATATAGTTTGTAGGTCGAAACTATACACCAAAATATAGAGAAAAGTTTCCTTTAACATATCTGAAAGTTTTAACTAAAAAATCCAGACATTAATTTTGAACGCCATAATTATTTAAAAACATTATGTAAGGTTTTTAAGTTCGTAATGTTTTTTAGAAGCTGTAAGAAAACTACTGTATGGATTTAAGTAAAATTAACGCCTAAATATAGAGAAATCTCTCCAACATACTCTAAAGATTTCAGCTAATAACATCTAGCCATTATAAAGCCTTACACTGAAACTAGGTCAAACTGAACAATTATTAATTAGTACTCTCTGTTTTAAACACTTTTAAAAAAGAAATTCAGTTAGATCAAGTAGATACATTGATATAGATAGCATACTTTAGAAATATTTTCAGATTTTTTATAATGAAAATGTTTTATAAGGAAAGCAGAATGCCCCTTTAATATGAATAATTAATGCAGACGCAGAATAGTCATTTGATGTTGTCATTGTTTCTGTCCATTTAATAAGATCATGTCATAGGAAAAACTTTTGACAGAAAAGCTTGGTGTGTAGGTGTGTACTAAGGTAAGGATAGTCTTTGTGGATTTTAAGGCTGAGTTTCATCAGATCTAAAAAAATGTTTGGTGTTACAAGTTTTTTTTAATTCTTGCCAAAAATGTCCAAGACTGATGCAAAATTTGAAACTAGGTTACAAAATTGTCATAGAGTCTTTCCCTGTATCATATCTAAGGCAACAAATACTAATTTTCACCTTGATAAAGTGTTAAATACTTATAATTAAACATCAACAGAGGAAACAACATTTCTTGCTTCAGCTCTAAGGAATTGTTTTTAGAATCATACAGAGAACAAAATAGCGACTAATGATAAATGATTTGGAAATGGGAGGAGTTCTTGATAAAATTCAAAGTGAGGTAAACGTTTTAATGGGTGAAAAAGAAGCAGAAGAAATAGATGATTATGAAGAAATAAAACGTTTAAATAGTCTGACTGATGACAAGACAGGAAATTTGAAACTGGAACAATCTAGATGGAGTTTGATAAAAACAGATTCTACAATTATTCAGCAATCAAATGTTCCTGTTTGGCAAAAAATTATTGAACAAAACAATGAATGTGTGGGAAATCAATTTGAAGGTGTATCAAGTGATATGCAAAAGGGAAACAGTAATTCTAAAAAGTCATTGAGTAGTGTGGCTAGTAGTGGTAAATCAGTAACTGGTGATTCTGGACAAGGTGAAGAGGATGTTACAAATGATGTGTTTTCTGAAAATAATATTTACACCATTGGGGACTACACAGAGGTTTGTATCTGAATATTTTTTTCCAATGAACAAATATGCTAATAGAGGTTATTGATGTAGAAATATGATTTTAAAGAATATCGATCTCAGCAGCTTTCACTTTATAAAATGATATTTTGATCATATCTATGCCTGTATACTAGAAGTATTGAACAATTTTATTTTGACATAGAAGGCCATTTGTATTTTGATAGGATGAGTACTTTGACTAAGAAGCCAGAGAGTTTTGCGGCCTTGTGGACTTTTCATACTTATTACACTGTACTTCTTTGTAAAGTAACACTTAATCATATAAATAAAAGTAAAACTTGATCATTGAGCTTTGCATTGATTTGCTTTTTCGCTTAAACTGTGATTGATTTCATAAAGTATTTTACAGACACATTAATTTAAAAATAATAAACTAAGACTGTTTTTTTTCATAAATCTCAATACTGTCCAGTCGTTTAAACACATTTCATATTGTCTTAGATTGCTATCAAGTTCTCATGATCGCTTAAAGCATAATTTGTTGCTCAATAAATCTCTTATCATATTCTTTAACCTATCATATTCATGTAAAATATTATTGATCATCTGTCTCATGTTACAATAGTCAGTTAAAATTTAGAATTTCATAATTCATTAGTTTTATTTTTAAAATTTCTATTGATATACAAAGTTGAAAAGAGAAGAAATTTTTGCTTCAACCTATACCCCGAACTCCAAGTAATATAACTTTAAGCTTATGACTTTAATGTTTTGTGAAGTCACTTGGTAATTTAGGGAATAGGGTGGTTTGGGGTTAATTTTGTGTAATTATGTGGCTGATAAACCAGTTGCTAGTGTTGAAAAGGTTTATATAGAACCCTGCAACGTTAAATCTCTTAAAACTATAAACTGGAAGTAAAAACAGGACAACTATTGTTGTCATTGGATCAAAATCACACTTACAAGTCCTCAAATTGTGACAAAAAGTGAAATTCAAAATTCCTCTAATAACAATTTACTGTATCTTCAATAGGAATGGAAGATATCACAGCATTACTTCAAATTAGTGAGAGAAAAATTGAAAAAATAAAAATATTCATTTGCAAAAAAAAGAACAAATGCATACGCAACACAAAGTAAACAAAATTGAATGAATTTCAATTTGTTCAAAGTATAATTTATTTAACGTTTTTAATACTAATTTTTATTCAATTGATAATAATCTCATTTATATTTAGAGTAGAATTGACTCAATTTAACCACCATGTCCAAATGACAGATGATGTAACATATGAACTCTAATAGAATAGATGTTGTGTTATCTAAGTCAAGCTAATTTAAATACTTTGAATAATTTAATACATTTTTTGTAAAATCATTTATTGTAGAATGTATCTTATAAATTTGAGAATTTTTGTGACTTTAATTAATATATGGACATCTATCTATATTACAAGTTACTTGGTACTCTGAAGCAGACCAACATGTATTCAATAATATTATCAATTTTATGTACTTCTAAGATCAATTGCATAATTTTAGGATATCAGCATTCTTGAAATATTTCTCAAAAAATGCAACTTTAAAAGGCAATAATGGCCATTTTCATGTATTGGTTTGTGCTTTGAACATATGTAAATAGTCTTCAAAAGTACTAGAACTGCTAATGAATGACTGCTTCAAATATGCATCAAACAAGAACTGCACTGCACAACTGAATTATTGAATTCGGTTATAACCGAATAGAAAAATCTGATTCAGTTTGATTCAATTCGGTGTTTTTTCAACTATTGCCAAGCGAATGGCACTGAGAGGTTAAAATATCAGAACTTTCATATAGGTCTATACGTATTTGTTCAGATTAATGATGCCAGCTCTCATCCACCATTCCGACCTAGATTGCACCCACAGTTGACAAAAGCATTTTCCGTTTCCTCTTCTGATATATATTATTCTTTTCCTAGACAATTCGTGTACTTTATTAATCCTTTTCTTGTGATCGTCAAATATCATTATAACGCCAACAGGAGCCATTTTGAAGTGTTTATACATGTGACACTCCACGAGATAAACTTATCTGGATAACTTCTTGTTTGGTTTCGCACTGCCACTTATCTGGATCGTATCCAGACGAAATCCAGATATTCTCTCTGGATAACTTCTGGTTATAACCGAATAAGTTTTTTTGCCAGTGCGAAAGCAACCGGAAGTTATTCGGATACAACTGGATAGAACCAAATTATTTTTGCAGTGCGAAAGGGGTATTTCTTTTTCGATCTTCACTGATTTCCACTGCATGAATTATGTCTTTTTGATTAGGTCTATAGTTTTTATCCTTAATCTAAATGACAGCAAAGGTTAGGAAACAAAATCAATTTATGAATTTGACTGTTCACCTACATGGTGAAGTCTGAATGTAATTTCAAGTGCAGGTATCCATACATTTGGAAAAGAAGGCTCATTGGTGAGGTATGAAAATCATTATTGAAAAGCTTAGCTAATCTATACCTGTTCCTGAGACTAAGGTACTATAGTACAGTTGATCAATAGGATGGTGAACAATGTACCAATAACAATTTACCAAAATAAAGAGCATGTGTACATCCTAAAGAATCACATGTATCATCAGAAAGCTTACTCAAAGTTAACAATAGTTTTTTGAATGTGCACATACTAATATTTTTATTGGACTATTTTGTCCTCAATAGATAATGGTTCTTTATAATGTTTGAAAATTAAAACAAAGCTGCTGTGTGAAAACCCTGGTATGTTATCTTTGTAATTGTTATGTTTGAATACATGCTATTGGTTAGATATTTGTTGAAAGTTATGTCTGCTATTTATTTGTAGAGTGGTTCAATGATGGGAGATCATGAAGATGGATACAGAGATAAATATTCCTGGTCACATCATGCAAATGGAGGGTAATATGATATATTATGTTATTTTAATTTCTCATCCTATTAGGCTGAATGGAAATTTTGGATTTCTTATAAACAACAAATGGTCCACTATTGCTAGTAGCCTACACAAGTACAGAATTATGTAATTTACTAATATAGCATATAGATAACCTATTGAAACTAGAAAAATTCATCTCCCTTTTTCTATGACATTTTTTTGATATTAACCTAGAACAATTACCTAGTTAACATTCTAGAAATGATGGAATTGCCCACCTAAAGTTGAACCCTATCATTTTTAAAAAACGCTAATTATTATCGTTTAGCCTTAAATGTCAGAATTTTGAAAGGGCCCATGCTCTACCAATATTGAGGTAGACTTGTGGGGGCTATAGAATTCAGAAAAAATCAAAAATGTTTTGTCTGTATTGACTTTATTTTATTATTTGATTTCTGTCTATTTTTCTTGAAAGTGATATATCTTTCTATCTTATATCTAGAAAGTACAATATGTGACCAATTACAAACAACACTGAAAATATTATACCATAGTTTTTTGTGTAGAAATTTTATTTGTTGTTATAGTTGTTACCATGCCACTTATATATATCTATTTTTAATTCTGCTTCCAGGCCACCAGAACACAACCCTTTTTACACCAGTATAGACAGTATGCCTGAAGTCAAGCTGCGACGGAAATCTATTCCACTTGTTAGTGAGTTGGTGAGTATCTTTTTTCAGATTTTGATAATGCTTTTACTTTATAACATTTGTTTCTAAATATTTCTCATTTTGACAAAAGGCATTTAAAGGGACAGATATGCCATTTTTGGGGGTTTCGAGTGTTGAATATATGTAAATAGTCTTCAGAAGTATGAGAAATGTATGAAAATTGCATAATTCATTCAAAACTATCTCAAAGTAGGAATTTTTTTTCCAATTTCTATAGATGTGTTTTCTATATATGACAGTGTCTCAAAAAAAGACTTGTCTTTTTAACTTTCAAACCCGTATAATTCTGGACACACATGGATTTAAAGGCTCAAATTTCGATGATGAGCTATGGACACTATTTCTGATTGTCTTAGCTAGAAAATTCCGGTTTCTGACAGTAAGGTATGATTGGTCAAAAAATGGAGCCATTGTTTTTTTATAGTCAGTCTTTAGAATTTCATTGGACTTTGGTGGCTTGGCGGTATGAGTTAGATATGGACATCCTTCTCCACTAATCAAGTCATAGAATCAAAAGAAGACCACTGTTCTGTGAGATTAAAATTGTGTTAAAAACTGCTTAAATCACTAAGACCATTATTCCTGTAAATGATACTAAATGCTAATGAATCTTAAAATTTGAAGGTTCCAAATTTGCCAATAAGAATAAAAATTCATCAGTGGACTTAAAACAGAATCCCTCTATATTGTAATATTCCATATAACTAAATGATTATTAAAAAACGTTCAAAAAAAAGTTTTATAGATTTATTAGAAATTTGGTCAGTTTGAGCAACAATAAATTGCTTTCTGAACCCTATAAGCTATAAATAGTACATGTAACATGTAGAACATGTTCAAACTTTTTTGAGCTTCGCATACTCTGACACACTGGCTAATCTGTCATTGTTTTATGTTCCCAATATACATCGGATTATACAGAGTATGCTGTTTGATATTCTGTTGATGAATATATATATATTTATTCATTTTTTCACCCTAAGAGTTGATATTCCTTTAACTTGATAATCAAATGTAAAATCACTTTGATCTGATGGTTATGACAAATAAATAACAGTTTTGGCGGTTTCAATAAATGTTCCTAAATGTTCTAGTTAACTCAGCTAGGATTGGTAAGAATAATTCTGGAATGATCTCAATTCAAAGAAGATCTTCATATCAAGTTTGATGAAGTTTTTAACATTGACATCGTGATTGACTATTACTCCTTTTTTTTACAATGACTGTTATAAGAAAATGTAATCAAAACTATATTTTGAATTTGAACCTAATAGAAAAGCTTATTTTAAATTATTAGTTAACAAATCATAATTCTGTTAAATAAAATTGTTCACCAATTAAGATTTTGACCAATTTACCATGCGATCATTTTATTGTAACTGGGAAGTTTGGATTTTTTTTTTTTTTTTTTTTTATAAACAATATTAAAGGGATTGGGGAACAGGGTTATGCCTATTTTCTGTTTCTTCATTTACATAATTCTGTTAATATCTGAATATGTTAAAAATTTAGACACACAAGCTGGACTACAGTTATTCTGCACATGAAGTTAGGATGCATGTTCAGTACATCACATAAAAGTGGTCCAACATAATCAATGTAAGAAATGGACTGAAATGTGGAGCGTATATTGGTGTCTCACTCCAGAAGACACAATTCTTGATGGATTTTAATGAAACTTGGTTTGAATGTTTGCAATCATCTTAGGATGAAACGTATTGTAAATCAGAAGAAAAACAAAAATTAGAATTTTATTATTGTCCTTGTTCTAAAAAACTCATTCAATTTTAGCTTTTAAACACTCTAGAAGACACATTCATGGCAGATTTTGACCAAACTTTGGTGAAATTGTTCATTATTGGTTCAAGAATGAACCCTATTGAAAAAAAAAGTAAAAAGTTAATGCCCTTGTTCATGATGACGATGAATTTGTTTATTATCACCCGTAAATAAACCTGATTTGAAGTGAAAAGAAATAGTTTATGAGTTATGGCCCTTGTTTTTGAATATGCATTCAATTATGTAGCCTGTAAACACTAAAAGGCATCATTCTGGCTGGATTTTGACATAAGAATGGTAATATTGTTCATTATAACCCTAAAAAGTTTGATATAAGTGTATTACTGAAAGTTGAGTAGTGCCTACAGGTAATTGTTACTGTACTGCATAAATATTTTTTATTTAAAATCAAAGCTGATAGTGGGCATGTATTACCATCACTGGCAAGCTATCTTGAGTATTAGGGTATACTAAAATATTATGCAGGTTATTCTCCAATCCTGTTACATCTAAACAGCTACCTGAATATCAATATTAATGTTCTTCTTCCTTTATTTATCATATTGCAGGTGTTAAAGGTAAAACTTAGTATAATTTTCAGTCAGTTTTTTAGTTTTTGTAGTACATGTCAGTATATGTTGTCTGTGACTTTATTTCTGGCACATATTGTTTAATTAGTTATAGATATATATAGGCTAGTACATACAGAAAAACAACATTGCATGTAATTATGAATATTATATAAGCATGTAAAACAGGATGATGTATCACAATGTAGAAGATTTTCAGGTTCAATATATTCCCCTACATTGTATCATTGGACTCTTTTGGTAAAATATATTATCCATTTTGATCTGAAACTATTTTTGCACAAGAACATATTGATCATGATTTTTCATGACATTTCAAACTATCAACATCCTTGACCTTTTTCGATTAGCCAAACTAGTTTAAGATATGGATCAATTTCTCATAGTTTTGAATTTGTCATCTTATTCATGTGATAACATTAATTTTGGTTTCAACAAGAATTAAATAGAATGAAGAAATATAGATGATCATCTCAATGAGTGATCTGTGATCTAGGGAATACATTTTTATAGGCATCTGTCAAAATTAACAAGTTATTCCTCTAACAACCTCAGAAAGCAACTCAATATAAAAAGGTGTCATTTTTAATTTTTTTAATTTGATTTGCCACACTTATAATCTTGATATCTCCTCCATGTTCAAATTTGATCAATGAACACTACAGTGACTGCAGTGTTGATGATTGAAAGCAGTGTGATTTTGATTTTATGTTTTTGTATTGACTATATTGATTTTATAAGATTTTGAGGAACTTTAATTGTAAATTGTTAGGATAAAAAAACATTCAAAGTTTTTGAACAACATAATGATTCAATATGAAGTTTAAGTTGTCAAAACTACTTGTATCTTTTCTGACAGCTGTCAGTTACCATGTCTGGCCAGTCATCTTATAGATATACTTTCAAAAGAAATGCAAACTGTTTTGTCAGTCGAAAACATGTAAATGTACTATTTAACTTATATAAAGATGTATTTTTTTTATCTCTTCATGTAACTATTATAAGTTTTCTTTCTGCACATCCTTGTACAAATCTATCATCTACGTACCTAATGCTTTTAACAAAATAAATGTGATATGAAAATATGATTTAGATGAAAATTAGAAATAAGATATCAAGAGCATCAAGTAGGTGGATGATCTGCTCAATAATTTACTTGAATAAAAGAAATTCTACTATTGGAGGAAAGACAGATTGTGAACATGATTTTGATTATTTGTGAGTACACAAGTCAAAAGAAAATGTTCTTGATTTTCAAGAAGCTTTACAAATATGTCAAAATTTTGTTCATGAAACAATCTGTAGTACAACTTGTCTCTTTTATGTTGTATAGTAATTTTGCATGAAATTTACTTTTCTTTTAAATTTCTAATTGACCAAAATGTTTAGCCCATGTTTATTCACATCATGGTATGATTCTATGTATGTCTGTATGTTTTTAGATAAGAAATTAATATCAATTGTACATACAGAATGACATGGTAGAAATTTATTTTTATCCATCTGTAATATTTTATTAACAATATACGTGTACTAATTTTTAACAGTTTAACAAATATTTTTTTCTTTATTTATTTTAACTTATATTTAAACAAATGTATTGTATTTCAGAGCATGGCAGCCAAACGAAATGCTGGAGTGCCATCAGCCATGGTAGCAAGACAGTCTTTAAATGATGAAGAGCTAGTAAGTCATTAATAATATGCAAAAAAACTTCATTTTCCAAACTGCCTTATTAAAACTTTACATGAAAGAAATATGTAGAATCAGTTTTATAAATATTATCTAGAATTATCAATGTTTATGACTGTTACAATAATTTTTGTAAATAATACAAATACAAATGAGATAATAAAAATCCATACAGGCAAGACAATTCTGTTAATCAAAAATCTTGGTCAAAGATTGGCATAATTAAGGATGGGGAAACTCCTATGGCCTGGTAAAATCATTTTTGACCTTGAATATGATTACATAGATTTTTTAGATTTTGACATAATATTTTTTTCTAAATGTCAATTCTGATGAACTTTCATTGGAAAGATTTTTTTGTCAAGAAATGTGGTTTGGTCAAAAAGAATGTTGAAATACAAAATATAGTGATGTTCAGGAATGATATTAAAATATGGACACCATTAATTATACAACATATAATTGGTTCCTGAAACAAAATTCAATGTCTAGAATACTGAAAAATTGTATGCTAGGTTTTTATTGTTTACCATACTTTTAGAACTGTTCTTTAAAAACATTTATTATCTTTCAGAAAATGCATGTATATAAGAAAACCCTACAAGCATTAATCTACCCAATATCAAGTACCAGACCTCATAATTTTGTTGTTTGGTCTGCCACATCACCAACCTATTGTTTTGAGTGTGAAGGTTTGTTATGGGGTCTGGCTAGACAGGGTGTCAGGTGTACAGAATGTGGAGTTAAATGTCATGAAAAGTGTAAAGATTTGCTCAATGCTGACTGCTTACAAAGTGAGTTGTGGTATATACTGTATTACATTATGTGGTTCAAATATATCTGTTATGTTGGCAATGTAAAACGAATCCAACAGATACCAATAGAAACAACAACTACATTTTGCGTGGCACAAGACCTCATTTTATTTCAAAATTGTATGATTTTTCAGTATTAGGTTTCGGGGAACTATTTTTACTATACCATTTATAATGTTATATATCATCTTGAATTAATATTAGATTTTCACCATCATACACAAGACTTTTAAAATAGAAATATCCAAATGAAATTATACCAAATATTTTGATTGATATTTGATTGTAGTTTTTTTTTCAATATATCTAGTAAAATGCTACATCCTTATACATTGATTATAAAATGTGATATACACTCTCATTAGAATGACTTGCAACAAATAATAAACAATTGAAAGAGGATGATGTATAATTGAAAATCAGTAATCACTTTTGATCAGGAATTAAATTTTTAACAAAAACAATTCATTTATTTACTCTTTAATTCATAAATATCAATCACTCTTCTACCTACCCTTTCATCTTGGGAGCCGCAATTGCTCAGTGAGTTAACTAAATACAGTCTAAACAGTCATATTCCAGTGGCTTGGTTTATAAGTGGTTAGGTTGAATCCTCCACTCTCCTTGGCTGTGCCACCGAACATAAGATGTATGTAGAAAATGTAAAAGCTGGCATGAAATTTGTAGCTTTGTGGGCACATCATTCTATCAAAGGACTGTTCGTTTAATAATTTTTCTCTCCATGCATTCTACCGTTATATTTTATTATTTCAATAGGGGCAGCAGAAAAGTCTTCTAAACATGGGGAAGGTGATAAAACACACACAATTATTATGGACATGAAGGAGAGAATGAAAATTAGAGAGAAAAATAAACCAGAAATATTTGAATTAATCAGGTAGAGTTTGTTTGGTATTTACGACTACATGAAATCATTATATTATGCAATATCTATCATTGGATATACACATCTCAATTAGAGCTTAATAGCTAAAACTGCTAATTCAGCAACTTAAATTCCTTGTTTAAGGGGATGGGGGTAACATGAGAGAAATCCTCTTCCTGATAAGATCAAGACCAACCTCTGCACATATTGCTATTTTCCAAACAAATTGATGATCAGGTGAATTTTTGGGCAGTTTGAGACCTTGAATATTTAAAAAGTTACAGCTCATGAATTTTAAGTGATTTGTAGTCATTTGAGTTATTTTATACATGGAACTCAACACAATTATTTTACTGTGGAAAAGTGGGTGTATATTTATAGATGTTCAATTCTTAATTAATAGCTAATTATTTATCAGTGTTGGGGAAATGGTTTCATATATATTTAGTATTGAAGAAAGCAACGGTGTCATGTAAAATATTCAGTGTTAGAAAAGGGAAGCTGAAATAAAAAAAATCTATACAACTCTCTTAATCTCATTCTATTAGGCAAGTGTTTAGTGTGGATAGGAAATCCCATTCAGGCCACATGAAGGCAGTTAAACAAAGTGTTCTAGATGGAACATCTAAGTGGTCAGCTAAAATTGCCATAACTGGTGAGTGTAGGAACAGTCAGCCAATCCTTTTTTAGCACAATTTGTATCATCCAGCATGATTCCTGTTTGAATATTTCTATTTCTTGACCATTAACACAGTAGATTATTTTTATTGCATTTTATGATTTTTTTGTGTTGTTTTATATCTATTTATTTCTATAAAATCAATTTTCTCTTGTTGCATGAATTTTAAAGATTTTGACTTTAGACAGTTTGATAGAGGTTAATAAATTATTTTTGGAATGATTTTTTCAGACATCGTGTACTTAGTTGCATGTTATTTAAAATAACAAAAGAATAGGGAAATGGAACTAGATTTTTTTTCAATCGCTTGTGTTTTTGAAAATATTTGGAAATAATTAGACTAAAAATAACCACTAACTGGGCAGAAGAAAATTCAATGTACTAGAATACATTCTTATGCCCAGCATTCTTGTTTGTAAATGTAACTATTTATTTTTTCTGTTTTTACTGCTTTTAAACTAATTTTTATGTTGTATAGTGTTGTAGTATAGATATTTTATTTCAGAAAAATGTTTGAAATTGATCCCACATTGCATGCTGGTCATATGAAAGCTGCCATGCAAATTGTCTCTGATGGAACATCTAAATGGTCAGCTAAAGTAGCCATAACAGGTATATTCCTGATGTTATTTGGGCTATGGTGTTTTTAACTAATTCTGAAAGGTTAATTATTAATTGGACCTAATTTCTGACGTGACATGACCTGATTTCTGACTTGACATGACTTAATTTCTGACTTGACATGACCTAATTTTTGACTTGACATGACCTAATTGTGAGAGATATGAAGACTGGTCTATTGATATTCTGTGATCATTGTTTTTAATATTTTAGTTTTTAGATACATGCTTGGTTGGTATTGAGTTTTACAAAGATTTGACTTAAAAATCTTGTAGACACCCTTCTATAAAACTAAATATAGGAGTTTAGTTGAATTTATTTCTCTGGGCGATGATTACAATAAGGAATGTTGTTTCTTGTATATTTTAATAATTTCTGAAATTATAGAGAATTTTGTAAGAAGTCTGGTTTGCAATTGATTTAATTTGTTTGTGTTGGGATGAAAAATATCTCGGTTATATATTTAAAAAAAAAACTTATCAACAGACATAGGTGACATTGTATAAAAATTAAATAATTCTTTGACTCTCTACTCTCCATATTTTGTATGACTATTTACTCTTGTTTGTTATTATATTACCAACACTTGGTCAGAGGCACGCAAATAATGAACAAAATTTGACTATGCTTGTCTGAAGATCCAGGGTTCAATTCAGTCAAAGACTAACATAATACCTATGGATTTTCAACCTGATTTACCCTTTCAATGATGAAGGTTGAAGAGGCTGAAGTGAAAGAAGTACCAAATACCAAACTTCCTTCGAATGCTGTTGTAATAATGTGTTTATGTGGTAGTAGAAAAATTTGGTAGTGTTTTGGATTTTCATTTTCCAATTGATTAAGTGCCTTAAGTCTGATTCCCCTTTGCGATTAGAAACACAGCAAGTGGATTTAGACTGTGTTTTATGTAAGGCATCAACAGCTTCCACTAAATCTTGAATTTAAAATACCCCTCAGCCTACCCACTATATAATGACTGTTGTGCCTGACAATATTAGTTACTGCAAGAAAAAGTATTAGCTTATCAAACAATTAGTCTTAAAGAATAGAATGGGAATAATAGTTAAGATAAAGCCTTACCACAATAATTATTGTAAGCTTGTAGTTTTATAACTTTGATTTTAGGAGAGAGTATGACTTCTCCAAAGTACAAAGTCCTAGAGTTAAAAGATGTTGTGGTGAACATTAGTATATTGTGTATCTTGTCTTTTTCTGTGTATATTCATGTATTTGTTTTGTTATTGTAATGAATAGTGGACCTGGCAGTTGTAACTATTGTTGTAATCACATATGTAACCTTTTATCAAAAACCTCATGGAAAAGTAGACTATATTACCGTTACATCGGTCCATCTGTCAACATTGGTGTGATCTCACATTGGTGAGAGTTTTTTGAGTTATTGTCCTTGACTTGTCAAAATTTGTCTGTTAGTGCAATAGAGGCTACAGTTTTAATCCTATTTAAATGAAATTTGGTGTGATCATATATATTGATAATATCTTGGACAACTTTAAATTTGACGATTTTTCAACGAACTTTTTTGAGTTATTGCCCTTGACTTAGTCGAAATGCGTCAAATGTGTTTTTAGTGAGGTCTATAGAGACTACAGTTTTAATCTGATTTAAATAAAATTTGGAGTGATCATGTATATTGATGATATCTTAGCGAGATTGAATTTAAAGATTTTTCGATGAATAATCTTTGTCTGATCATATATATATTGATAGTTGAATGTTTTGGAATTTAACGATAATTGGTGAACAGTTTTGGAGTTATTGCCCACAAAAAGTTAAATTGCACAAAATAAGTACAATAGAAGCTGCAATTTTAAATTGATTTGAAACTTGGTGTTAACATTGGAATTGAAAATATCTTGAGTATGGAGTTGATTACTTTTGCAATAATATTTTCTGAGTATTGAATAGAAACTTGACAGATTAATCATTATGGTTCATGTTGCTCTTTGAATCTAAGAATTCAACAAAGAGGCTGTGTGGGTGTATGTTTGCCTTGCCTGGCAATCTAACTTTAGTTGTTTATACCTTTATTTATTAAACTTGAATATTAACAAGAAATGATTAATTCATTTTACTCAGTCACCATGTCTTTAATAATGTAGTTATTAACTTGCTTAACCTCTAGAATGTATAAATCAATTTATAAAGGCATGTTGAATTAAAAGTAGTATTAAATCACAGAGTAGTATGTGTAGCATATGTTATAATATTGTTATTACAAAACTGCTGAATAACTGTCAATAATTCATGACAAGTCTCCCGTGTGAAGAATGTGCATAACCCAAATAGCTTTAAATGGTTGTAATTCATACTGACTTATTCTAAATTCATTGTTACATATGAAGATGAAAAAAAAAAGATATTTACCCTTATTAGGGAGAAAGTGACAGTCATAATACACACTGTTATTGTTGAAGTTTTATAATGACAATAATTGGAAGTAATAGTAGATAAATACTTTTGAATTGATACACTCATGAATATGCAGACATGATAAGAACTTTATTGCATATGCATCTGTAAAGTGCTTGTGCTCGTAGAAACTGTTTGCCATTTCATGCTAATTTGAATGTTTTTTAAAAATGATTTAGGAATTCTATATACAAGATATCAAACTATATTAGTCTTTGCATTCCTGATATGTGATATTTCAAAATTATTCACTGATATTTGACTTCTGTTGGTTACAGTGATATCCGCTCAAGGTCTAATAGGAAAAGATAAAACTGGTACTAGTGATCCATATGTCACTGTTCAAGTAGGAAAAGTCAAGAAAAGAACCAAAACAGTACCACAGGATCTAAATCCAGTTTGGACAGAAAAATTTTATTTGTAAGTTAACATAAATCAACCACTTCATTCATTGTGTTTGCATGTAGAATCTAAGGATTGAATAAAGAAATGCTATAAAACATCTGAATACTGTTAGTAATAAACATTTAAGATGAATGACAAAGCAATAATAATGTTTTTTCCATTGAAATTATTTCAGACTATGAAATACATTGATTTATTTTTCATAAAGTAAAATGTCTTGTATTTCAGTGAGTGCCATAATTCTTCAGATAGAATAAAAGTGCGAGTATGGTATGTATATTAAGATTTCAGAGAATGGAGGATTAAACTTCTCTTTGTTGGTGTAGATACTTGGTTATAAATTTAACTTAGCATGCGAAAAAATCACCCCAGCATACAGACTAATATGAAATAATAAATAATGCTCAGATTAACTTAAAACAAACTTACACATTGCTCTTGTCAGACATGACTAATACAAAGAGTCCTGACCGCATCTGGGATATATTTTAAGCTATATTTTTTCAATGAATAAATCTTAATTAACAGGGATGAAGATAATGATTTAAAATCGAAATTACGTCAAAAATTGACAAGGGAATCAGATGATTTTCTTGGTCAAACTATTATTGAAGTGAGAACTTTGAGTGGTGAAATGGATGTGTGGTATAATTTAGGTAAGAGTAGTTTTTTGTTAAACTTTCTCTTCCATGACAACAGATAGAGTTTAAGCTATATATGGCACTGTTGTTTATGATGGTCAATCATATAAGAATTATGTATCTATGCATTGATAAGATCTGAGATGAAAGTATTTCCTGTCAAGTTTTTTTTTTTTTCAAACAGAAAAGAGAACAGATAAGTCAGCTGTGTCAGGTGCTATCAGATTACATATTAGTGTTGAGATCAAAGGAGAAGAGAAAGTTGCACCTTACCATGTACAATATACCTGCCTTCATGAGGTTTGTTGAAAAAAAAGAATTATCATTTCTGCAAGAGAAGATAATATTTCACTTTTATACCTCACATAAATGTGGGACATATTAACATCACACATGTATGTCCGTCTCTTCAACAATTCTTGATGAATTTTAATGAAATTTGTGAAATTGTTTATATTAACAGGGATATGATTCTTACTGAAAATACAAGCAAAATCAAAAAACATTCTATGTCTTATTGCCTGTGTTCTATGAGACACGTTCAATATTAATGCCCTTGTTTTTCAGATAGCAAATTTGGAAGAAAAAAGTAATATGTTTTCCAATTGACTAGAAGCAAAGGTAGCAAACCATCTTATTAATCCAATCTGAATATTTTTTATTTTCTTTTCAGAATTTATTTCATTATTTGTGTGAACAAGCTGGAGGAGAAGTAAAGTTACCTGATACTAAAGGGGTAGATAAAAGATTTGTATGTATATTGCATGCACTGGCAGCATGCCTCTTTTTCTACTTACTTCTTATCTGTTCATAATAATGTTGAATTCAATATTTAATTATTTTTATACCAATATGTCAATTTTTATAGTAACACAGCAAACTTGAGGTTCTTATTTTCAATCAGTTTTGTTGAATGTTTATTTGAAGTTGAACCTATGAGAGAAAGTTGACTTCTTTATGTCTCGGAGTTGTGAACTCTCAATCTTAGCCAGTTTTTCTTATCATTTCATCATGGAGACATTGTGTTATTGTGGTTTGAATTCAAGTTAATTGACACTATATTGATAAAGCTTTATTTTGAACAGATCAGAAGACTTTCTGCACATGAAAATTCTGTTTTAATAAGTGGGAATAATATGGTGGTCTAATTCTTCGTTGTATCAGTTTAGCTCTACTCAAGCTACATGTATTACAAATGCAAATCCAACTTCCAGTATGACAGCAATCAAGAAAAAAATAAAAGGGAAAGTAAAGACAGTAAAACTTCTTAACTAATGAATTGATAATACCAGCATTTTGTATACTTATACCCAGAAATATGAAGACTATTGGTATGTTCTATTAAGTACTCAGCTGGATGTTGGATTCAAAGTTTAAAAAATCATTATGGTTACCTGGAATAAAGTTGTTATCATTTAGACCACTATATCCTTTTCTGCTATTTCCTTCTGGCTTTTGCTATTAACATTGTGCTAGTAAACTTTTCCCACAAGTGAACCCTTCTGTCTAACTTCCAACTTCTGTCTACATTGTTGTCAAACTCAATAGTGAGATAAGGTGACTTCTTACATAAAAGGAGCTGATTGTTTAAGTTTTTTGGAATGTGCAAAAAAGGTGTCGAAGTTATAAAGTGCTGTGGAATTTGAATTAATTTAGAGAAAATAATTATCTTATTTCAGCAATCATTGTTGTAATTCTCTTCCTTTCTACATAGCCTAGAAAATATCGTCTTCTCTCTGTTGTTCTTTTGTATCAAACTCATTTTCACTCCACAGTCAATCATATCTTGTTATTTATATATGGAGGCTTGTAGGAATGGAATTTGCTAATATTAACATTTTTTATATCCTGATACATAAATACACGTATCGCAAAACAGTACTGATCTCAGATTCAAAATACAGGTTCATAAAAATGATATAAAATCATAGCACAGGTTAATAACTACACGCCGTGTAAACAAACAACATGCCATTCTTTGATGTTGACAACTCAATTTAAATGGAAGGTAAAGGGCATGAAAGTGCTCCAAATAACATAAATTTGACTATAAGTTTCAATTTAGTAATTACATAAATGTGTTAACCAAGACCTTTTCTGTTTAGCTCCTGGACAGTTGTGTTAAAATGTTGACCTCAATTGAAGGAAATACATAGAAAAAGTGCAAGGAATTAAGGAAAAAGCACTGAATTCGTTTTAGATCCTTTATTTAACATTATTCAAACTATCCTTTATTCTGTATATTAAACTAGAAATAATAACTCACCTATTTCATCCTCTCATGGTATTGTTGAAATCCTGTCTGGTTGACTGTATAACTATACATCAAAATACCAAATAATTACTTTTTTATGTTGGCAAAAATGGCTAAAGGACAAGCATTCACTTTCTCTTTCTTATCTTGAATTTATAACTTCTGGAGCTTGAAAATCAAATCCAATGTCTGAGTAAACAGAACATGCTCAACTGTGTTCATCTTTTCTTGTACTAGCCAAATGAATTGAATTGAACATTGAATTATTTTCTCACTGATTAGTGCTGGAGGTACAATGTAGGGTAGAAAACAGAATTTTTTTCATTATTAGTCTATAAACCTCTGTTGTCTTGACTTGAAATTGTAATTTCTGTACAAATTGTTATAGGATGAAGCGTGGAAGGTTTACTATGATGAACCTTCACAAGAAATAGTAGATGAGTTTGCTATGAGATATGGTATAGAGTCTATTTATCAAGCTATGACGTAAGTTGATGTGTGAAGTGTATTCTGTTTTTTTATTGTCCGTTCAGACGACCATTTGTCTCTTTGAGCACGCAGTTTGAAACACTAGCTTGCTAACCTGAAGTTCCAGGGTTTATTGAGATGAAATAATTAATTTTGAATTTCAAATATGACGTAGAATACCATACCTATTGGCCGACATGGTTTGATGGAAGTTCTCCAAATACTTTTATATTTGTTGATCATCAAGTAATATGCTGACAATGAAGTTGTAATAATGTTGTTGTATGGCTTTAACTGCTCATTTATATAATTAAGTTTCAAGGAAAATGGATTTTTGAGAATTTTTTTTGTTTGTAGACATTTTTCCTGTTTGTCAACAAAGTATATGTGTCCTGGTGTTCCAGCTGTAATGAGTACTCTTTTAGCAAACATAAATGCATTCTATGCACATACAACCATAACCACAGCTGTATCAGCCAGTGATAGGTTTGCTGCATCCAATTTTGGAGTAAGTTTTATTTCTTAGTCCTTTCCATGATTGAAATGTTTATATTAAATGAAAGGAATCTAGTATGTTGAAGTAAGTACAGATATTTTATCAGTCTGTGAACTAAGCAGACATTTTAACATGTACACTCTTTGAGATCTAAATCTGACATCAAGGTAATGAAAAAAATTAAAAGAAATGTACTGCCAAAGAAATGACATAACATGAGACATACATGATGAATTTGATGTCTCTGATGTCCAAGAAGCAAGATGTCAATATAATATGTTGTTTCCTACTTTGTCTGACACTGATAATGACTGTATATATCTTGGAATTTCTTTGATGTAAGATCAAGTACTCTTTGTGAAAATTCAGTAACAACACAAGAAGAAATAGGCCCACTTCTGTCAAAATCTTTAAGGTAAAAATAAGTTGCCTAAGTGTTATTTGTGTAAGGAAAGGTATGATTGTTTTTCAGAAAGAAAAATTCATCAAACTCCTTGATCAACTGCACAATTCATTACGAATAGATCTGTCCATGTATCGGGTGAGTATATTTCAGGTCATTTTTCGTATATAGGCGTCACCGATGTCCGCCCATCAGTTGGTCCGTCCGTAAACACTCTAGAAGACGCAATTCTTGACTGATTTCAAGGAAACTTGGTATGATTGGTTGTAATTTCCCCAGGAGGATTTTCACCCAAAGATGAACCCAATTCAAAATCAAAAAATCGAAAAATAATAAGTAGGAGTTATTGCCCTTTTACTTGAAAACGATCTCAGTTTATAGCTGGAAAACATTGTAGAAGGCATAATGATTGACAGATTTTGACAAAACTTGATATGAGTATTTGTAATCACCCAATGAAAAACCCTATTGAAAATCAGACGAATTGAAAAATATTTACTATGAGTTATTGCCCTTGTGCTTAAAAAACGCATTCAAGTTTTAGTTTAAAAATATTTCTATATTGCACTTCAATTGTTGTAATGAGCACTATTTTAACAGTGAAAATATTTTATTATTGTATCAAGTGTAGAAGGATACAGAAATGATATTTATATATCTTTTTTTAAATAAACAATATTTCATTGATACATTAAAGGAATGTTATGCAAAGTGGTCCATATTGGTCCACATAGAGTCCCAAGAAATATACAAAAAAAGAAAATGTAAATGGTTGTTTTTTATATTTGTAGAATAATTTCCAAGCCTCTAACCCTGCCCGCCTTCAAGATCTCAAATCTACTGTAGATTTACTAACCAGCATTACATTCTTTAGAATGAAGGTAAATATTGTGTAGTGATTTGTAGAGTATGTTGACTAGAAATAACAAAAATATATTTACATCATTATGTGCCATAAAAAATCCCATTATTTTCACATAATAATGTAAAATGGAATTTTAGTTTTGAAAAATCAATTTTGAATTGCTAATGAGAATTATCATGATACTTTTTTTATCTTTAATTGGCTCAGCTTCAGTCTTCATAAACTACCACTAGGATATACTGGTTTATTTGCAGTGCCTCATATTTGGTAGAAAATAAAATGACTACTTTCACTAAGTTAATGTTTCATTTAATGTTGACATTTAAATCTTTTATACTCCTGCTAAACTTTATGTTTTTAGGTCCAAGAATTAACAAGTCCACCAAGAGCTGGTACCGTTGTGAAAGACTGTGTTGTTGCATGTGTTAAATCAACATATAAATTTCTCTTTGATAATTGTTATGAACTATATCAGCGTGAATTTCAAACTGATCCTAATGAACAAAATGAAGGGGAAGAAAGTGGATCTCATAGTTTAGATTTTTGGCATAAACTTATAGATTTATTAGTATCTGTCATAGATGAGGATAAAAATAACTACACATCAGTATTAAATCAGTGAGTACCTATAATCAATTTTCAAGTCAAGTGTGAGTTTTTTCTTTTATTAGAAAAGCGAAAGGTGCTTATATGGAAGATCTTTCCCCATATGATAATGTCTCAATATCGGTGTTGCTTAGGTTCAGAGTATTTTATAATTTTGAACAGTGTGAATTTTAATAAATATGTATAATGTAATAATATTGATCCTTAAAATTAGGGTATTTCCATATTCCACGTTAATAAATTCTTGATATTGAATCATCAATACATAAATATGGGTAAAGAAAGGGTTATGACAACATATATCAAAAAGGGGGCTTTATATGACTGTATGATAGTCAGGTATTAATTTTATATGTCCTAGAATTGCGGCATCTTACAAGAAACAATGTTTTCCATTAAAATAATCCAAAAGTTTACAAATGATCAAAAACATGGCTTATGATCATGTGACCATATTAATAAGTTAAACAAAATTCTTGTTGCAGTATTTTTCATAGTATAGTTTTGATATATCTATTATTTACAGTGCATAAACTTGAATAAACTAAAATATATTATATATAATAAAATCACTAATTTCATACAAATATATATATTGATTAATTTCAAAATGAAATATTGTACAAAGTAACTAATGTTTACATGTAGGCCTGAATTAGTTAGTATTGTGGAATATGCTATATTATCACTGAATATTATGGTGTCTGCATTATGCCATTTTGTTTCTGTTGCACATTATTTACAGTGAAAAGGATTTGTCCAGAGAAATTCAAGAGTAAAATGTTTAAAATGTCCAAAATATTCTACACAACAATTTAATTGAGTTATTTTATGCTTAAGACATGACATTAAAGATTATTTTAATTTTCCATCACTGAATTTCTTTATAATATGATTTCTTTCATTGATGAAGGAACAGTTTTGAAAATTGAATTGATTGAAGATAATTGCAAAACATTTTATCTAAAACCATTACATATGTATGTATCAATGATCAATTCATATTTATATGTAAACTAACAATAAAAAATTATATTCACTGGAATCCATGATAGTTAAAAAAAAAAAACAACAACAAAAAAACACATTATTTGAAAGTTGTTAGAAAGATATATTTTGAGGACTATTTTTGAAATCTTATAGGTGTAATTCTTGAACTTAATATATATAATACTAATTAATTACTAATCAAGTCAGACAAGCTAACTTAATACTATATAGGTAAGGTTGATAAATAACATCTTTCAAGATAGTTTCTGTCAACATGTTTCAATTCATATTTTCAAGGCATAGTAACAATACAATAAACAACGATATGACGTCATGATATTTTCTTCGGGAGATAAGTTATGATACATTTATAATAATAGATTGAAGAAATAACAAACAATTTTTACAATCTGAAAGATTTCAAAAAATCAATCAATTAAATTTGGGCTTTAGTTTCTCAATGATATATGTCTCATTAATTCCAATAATTGAGCTGTTGTGGCTGAACATTTTGTAGAAAAAATGACAGACATTGATATGATCATTCTTGTTTTGGGAACCCAGATCTGTAATTAGTGGTCATCCTGTACCTCAAATTGTTTTTACAGCCAATATAAAGCTCATTACATCCTCAACAGCATATATTATATAAACTCTATAGTACATGTAATATTAGCTTTAAGTATAGCTAAGTATACTGATGAGATCAAATAAGTTCTATTTTAACAATTTTGAGTTATTGGCCTTGAGTCGATATTTTAACATTGACATGTGAATGAAAAACTACATTTTGATTTTGTAATGGGCATTGATCAACTGCTTTTTTCTCCTTTTTTTTGAAGATTCCCTCAGGAGTTAAATGTAGGACAAGTCAGTGCCTCTATCATTTGGAGTTTATTCTCCCAAGACTTGTGTATGGCTTTAAAAGGTATGTGTATGATTGCTTTATTTTATTAGGTATAAGTTCAAAGTTATAAAAAGCCAGACAAATCTGACCCTGCCCACTACAGGGGTAAGATGTAATGTTATATTGCCCACTGAAGGTCATAATATTATAATATTATATTTTGTTATATTACTATAGCATGACTCTGATAAAGCGAAAAGTTTATTGGAAAAAAAAATTGGCTTGTTTTGTTTTCATGACAACTTTAATATCAGAGGATGAGTAAACATGTCGAGCATGGATAAATCCTACCTCCCACTCCATACAAAAATAAGAACATGAGATGATAAATGATAAATTGAAAGTCTGCTCGCAGCACCTGCACTGATCTCCTTCTGGCTTATATTTTTTTCATTTTTTTTATACAAATATTTTTGTATTTTAGTGTCTGTACATCTTATGATCATGTACTTGATCATTTTAACATAAATTGTCCATCCCATACACATGAACTTGTTCGATATGTATTTTCTAACAAACTGTACATTGATAGTATTTTGTAACATGTATTTTTGATCTGTCTGTCTAATACACATGTAATTGACTTGTATTTTTAAACAAATTGTACATCAAAATATTGTGTACATTTTTTATTCTATATATTTTTTCATGTCATTCATTGTATTGTAAGACAGGACCATGTCCTTGGTTAATTGGACCTCATTCTAACCACTGAAAAATATTTATTTAACACATAATTTTTTCAGATCATGAAAAAGAAAGAACTTGTAAGAGTTCAGAATATATGAATCTTCATTTTAAAGTGAAATGGTTGTGTAATAATTATGTTGCCAATGTGCCTCAATATAAAGGATCCATTCCAGAATATCCACAGTAAGTAAACATTAAAGGGACAGTTTTGGTTGGTTTGGATCTTAAATAAATGCCTTTGGAAGAAATATACGAAAATTGCATAATTCCTAAACAAAAAACCTATTTTGATATATGTCATTTTCTGTATATGACAGATAATGATGAAAAGATGTTAAATATCCCAATAATATGAGGTCAAAATATTATAATCATAGCTTTGATACTTTATGAAAAATCTTGACGTCAAAAATGTTACCGTTTCTTATGTCCGATGTCCAGGAAAAACATTGACTCTTTTCAAATTTATAAAGTATCAAAGCCAAGACCTCATAATTAAAGACATTTAAGACATCTTTTCGCACAAAAGTAGTTTCAATGGTTGAAACATAATAAAAATTCAAGAAATTTTTGTATTTATAGATGGTTTGAACCATTTGTTATGCAATGGTTAAATGAGAATGATGATGTGTCTATGGAATATTTACATGGTGCTTATGATAGAGATAGAAAAGATGGAGTATGTTTACAATTATTTCTATTGTGCTGATCAATTCAGAGGACTATTTTATAACTCTGTCTTGTTATAACAGATCTGAAAATGTTTAAGAATATGAAAACTTTTTATTGGCCAACATATTTGTTTGAAAGTATGTCATGGTCACACCCTGTTTGTATACAATATTGATACAAAGTAAGGATGATGTCTATTTATTTTGCTGATGATCAATTGTGATGAAATGCATGGTATATGTTACTTTGAAGGATTCAATTTTTAAAATGAGGAGCATGTTTATCCCTCAGTCTTCCATACATCCATCATCAACCATAGAAAGCACAATTCTTCACAGATTTTGACAAAACTTTGCAAAATTGTTAATTATCACCCAAGGATGAACCCTACAATATTTTTTTTAAAAATTGGTACATATTTAATATTAATTTTTGTCCATTGTTCAATTAGTAATTTTGGAGGAGTTACAAATCTGAAAGACTTCAGCAAAATTTTGTGAAAATGTTTATTATCACCCAAGGAAAAACCCTTGAAAAAAGAAAAAAAAATCTAATATTTGATTTGAGTTATTGTCCTAGTTCAATTTTAATGTTCATGGCTGCCATTCATCCAAATATTTTAAATCAAATATAGCTGCCAGTGGATGTAAGTTACATCTGAATGAAAATTGAAATGGTGCAAAATGATGCTATAAGTGTCTCATACACATTAAAAATTTAGAAACCTTGTTTACATTCCCTTTAAAAGTGACATTCTGCTTAGAGCTCTGTGCAATATAGGTTAACCGTGCATTGTGTGGAAACACATTTTTTACTGTAAGTTTTGCTTTAGTTTCAGAAAATATCTGAGCATGCTCTGTTTTCAACATCTGTGGTAGATGTTTTTACACAGTTAAACCAGTGTTTTGATGTCATTAGAAAACTAGAATGCCCTGATCCTGAAATTGTTAAAAGATACATTAAAAGATTTGCAAAGGTAGGTTCTAAAATATAATTCGATATATATATATGATCATTGTATGTTGTGGCAATATTATTACCTGCACCAGTGTCAGTCCTTCCATTCACAATTATTATTATTGTTATACACTGTAAAATTAACAGTTTTGATACTGAACTTTGTTATTTGTATAAATAGACATAAAGCTGTTTCTGAATATCAACAACTGTTATCTTTCATATTTAAAGTGCTATAGCTCTTTCTATTTATGTACTGATTTGCCACAGACTTTGATATATATATATGTATGTAGATATATGATACAAAAAAATGTTACACAGTTTGTGGCACCAAAAGAATCTTGAGGTACAACCAATTTTTCATGAAACTATGTAAAAGTTTGTCGCTTGGCCAATCTAAGGCCAAAGGACCAACTGGTAGAAAGGATCCTCAATTTTGAACCTGAAAATTTATATAATTGTTTTTTTTTCATTTTTTCAAAGTGGGTGGTAGGCTATAGGGCGTAATTTTTTGGTCAACAGCTTGATTTTTTAAGATCTTTTATAACTGCTGTTTATGTGTTAAGCAAACATTAAATAATTCTTTTTTATCTAATTATACAGACTGTCAATAAAGTATTATTGGCGTATGCTGATATAGTTAGGAGAGATTTTGATAAGTACACCAGTAGACAAAAAGTGGTGAGTTACTACATTATAAAAATATTTTGTTTAGTGTCATGGCTGGTAATACCCCTAGAGTTACAGCCTGAATATGTAGAAGATCATTTGTAACCCTCTTGAATATGATATTATATTTAATGCCATGGTTTGTTGGGAAATATTTTTGAATGTAAACTGTTAAAAACAAAAACTGGCATAGCTCAGAAATAGAAATGAGTTCAGCTGACAACACTGGAAGAGCTACTATTGACCTATGTCATGTGAATTTGTTTATTGGTATATCTTTCATGTCTTACATATTTATATTATTAATTATGTTTACATTGTTAATTTTCAACTATTCCTTACTAAAACAGTTTCAACTGATACATTATGAACTGATCATCCAAGTATTAGATGATTTCTGCATATCCTTATTTACTCATTTCAGGCTTGTATATTAATGAATAATATCCAGCAATTACGAGTTCAATTAGAAAAAGTCTTTGAGTCAATGGGTGGAGAAAAAGTAAGTTTTAGCCATTGAAATAAAATCAATTAAATTTGAAATATTGTACACTTAATGATTAGTTGTTTTCCTTGCTGCTGTCTGTCTATACATTTCTATTAACTTTGTACAGAATTAGACAAAAATTGGTGAAAAAGATTATTATTACTCTAGGATAAACCCTATTGAAACTTAAAAAAATATTTAAGTGTGGGACAATAATATAAGACAAGTTTTAGTGAGAAAACTGGGCTGTAGAATACCTGAAATCGAGGCCTTATCTACCATGTTATGTTGTGTAAAAGTACAAGGAATAATCAGAATTAGTTGTAACATTCTAAATATAATATTGAATAATACAAATCAATTATATAATTACATTATAATGATTTAGTTTTTGATTTTAAAAGCACTTTATAAAAATATGTATGATGTAGGTTTTATCTTAATGTTGATCAGTGGAAAGTTTTAGATAATCTTTCTTAAACTTGTCCCTCTAAAGTAAAACCTGTCCCTCAAATGTTAAACTTTTACCTTAGAAAAGAACTGTCTTGAGTTATGAATTTGAATTTGAATTAACCTGCAACATCAAAGGGATTTGCTGCCATAGGTTTATATGTCAAGATCTTGGCTTGTAACCTTATTCAGTTTGCAAGTAGAGATGAGATAGAGACATATTCTCAAATGTATAAAGCTGTCATGGAATTGTGGTTAACCCTTTTAGACCAATGCTAATTACTATTTGTATTGGCTCTATATCAAAAGTTATCTTAAATGACACAATGGAAAATTTTTATATGAGACAAAAGCTACTGAGACTAGGATGATCTCCGTGAGGGTCATGAGCACACTTTTGTATGGAGTTTAGTGCTATATAAATGTACCATTGGAAAAAGTTTTAACTGGGGACTAAAGTTTGACAGTTTTAAGGTTTTGATATATCAATTTAAGGGTGCTTGAAATTGTTTTTGGTTTTAATTGAAAAACTGGCTTCAAAACTTTTTGGAGTTTGCTGATATTTGGGCATATTCCAAGATTTACAATTTTGTATTAAATCTCTTTTCATAGCTTGATTCCGATGCAGCAGAAATATTGAAAGAGTTACAACAGAAATTAAACAGTGTTTTGGATGATTTAAGTACAATATTTGCCAAAAGGTAAGTTAGAACATGTAAATTCTATAACAAGCAAACTATTTTTTGTCAGGCATTATATTATATTACAATGGCACAGGGTTCAATTTAAGCAGTATCAAATGGCACTTTGTGAGTCAAAATGACCCCTTTTGCAACTCCAATATTTCCTATGATATCCAAAATTTAAATTTATCATGACGATGTGTAAATCACATCAAGTTGAATCAATGAGATCTTGAATGAACTTTACATTAGTATGAATTGTCAATAAATGTTTTAGGGTTATTTGTCTTTTGACTTTAAAGAAATATCAGATTTCTTGATTACAACCTCGACATTAAATCTGTTTCCCTTCACCTGGCTAAAATGGCTGTATGATAATAACATTTGAACAATTTATGCCTTCATAGGTTGTGAAATGAAATAATTGTTTTTCAGTTTGCAGCCTCAAATACAACAGAGTATGACTGAGTTGGGGCAGTTACTGTGTAAAGTGAAAAGAGCTGGACAAGTGAGTTTATCACAACCTAGTCAGCGTACAACTATACAACAAGAATCAGATATGATACTTCGCCCATTGATGGATATTTTAGATGGCAGGTAGGTCTATACATTGTTAAATGCCCATATTGATAGGTGCATATATTGTGTTATTATCCCTGTCTGTAAGTCTGTCAACAATTCTTGTAAACACATTATAGACATCAGTTTTTATCTGATTTTAATGAAACTTTTTGTGATCATTTATATTGATGAGATCTCGGTCAACATTGATGAATGTTTTTGCCCCGACTTAGGAAAAACGTGTCAAAATTTGTTTGTGAACACAATAGAGACTACAGCTTTCATATGATTTTAATGCAATTTTTTATTATGAAGAGGTCTTGGTCAAGTTCTAATTTGACAATTGTTGTGGACGTGTATTGCCATACATTTCTTGTATGCATAGTAAAAGCTACAGCTTTTATCTGATCTTGGTGTAACTATATTGATAAGATCTACGTCAAGTTCAAAATTGGTAATAATTGGATAAACAGTTTCAGAGTTATTGCTCTTGACTTAGTAAAAACTCGTTAAATTTGGCTTTTATGCACCACACAGGCTACAATTTTTAGCCGATCTTGATGAAGCTTAATATCCATTTATAAATTGATGAAATTTTGGTCAAGTTCGAAATTTGTCATAATCAGAATAACGACTTCGAAGTTATTGCCCGTGACATAGGAAAAAGGCCTCAAAAATATTTTTGTGAACACCAAAGAGACTACAGTTTTTATCTGATTTAAATGTAATTATATAAATTAGTTAAAATGTACTAAAAATTGTATGTGAGAGCAATAGAAGCTACAATTTTCATCTGATTTTAATGAGACTTGGTATGATCATTGGAATTGATAAGATCTTGACAATGTTCGAATTTGACTACTTTTAATAGAACATTTTAAGAGTTATTTCCTTTGACTTGATTAAAATGCATCAATATTTGTTTGAGAGAAAGTGGTACAGTTTAATCTGTTTTACATGAGTTTTAAGTTATTACTTTTTGCATTGAACTTGACAGATTAAACATTATGATTCATGGTGTGGATGAAATTTCTTTATATTTTGAAAGTTCTGCTAAGATGATTTATTTAGTTAATTTGAGTTTCTATAGAATATGATGGAATTTAGTTATTGATTCAAGTGCTCATAAACCTTGATGTTGTTATTTTGATCTTGTATTTTTCTATCTACAGCCTTCCTATGTTTGCTCAAGTTTGTGAGAAAACTGTGCTCAAACGCTTGTTAAAGGTTTGTCTTTTTTTATAACATCATCTCTCAATAATAGATCTGATTGTAGATCTGGTTAAGATTGCAAATAATATGTCTATCAGTGTTTTTCACATATACAAGAAATTTTTCATATTGTCCTGAGTTTATAGGCCTTTCCGGAAAGTAGGTTATTTCCCCCTGAATTGCACATTTTTCCTGCGGCGCTAGCAAAAATTACTGTATGCTACCTCCAGGGGCTATTCGGCTCGCTTGGTTGACAACGTCAACAATGTCTTCCAAGACAAAGAAATATTGCTGCGTATGAAGTAACTACAGGGGAAAACAACTTGGTTCAAAAAGAATATCACTGCATAGATTTCCAGCTAATGACCGAGTCAAACGAGTTTGGTTGCAACAATGTAAGCTTCTTATGATGACCTTCAAATCCACGGAGAATAGTTTTTTTCTGTTCTGACTTTTTTTCTGACAACGCCTATCAACCCTATTCCACCATTGTTTCAAAGTAAATCTTTCAGAACTTCAGTAAGAAGTTTTTGTCATTTCGCGTTTTGCCAATTACTGTTAATTTGTTTAATTTATACTGGTACTGGTAGGCCTAATTTAGGCCTAGATCTAATTTAATATGACTTTGAATTATGATAACTAGTTTTTGTCCATCCTGTCTTTTACTACCATGACTAGGCCTACTACTAGGCATTGCAATTTGCCATGCCAAGGCCAATGATGCCCTGAAGATGTAGGTAGACTGATTCTAGCCAGGAAAATGCTCACTCTTCTTTTAAATACCTGATGACACTTTCTCTTTACATGTTTTCTGGTTTGCATGCATGCATCTAATACCCCACGTGCCAATGAAGAAACAACTTACTGTGGCATCATTTTAAAACTGGAAAAGGAAAACAATTCCTTAATTATTTACACCCTCATGTTTTAAGAAAATAGATGAAAACCATGAAGATAATGAGGTTTTAGTCGGCTAATGAACAAGATATTAGCATCGGTTTTGACAGTGAGGTATCATCAAACAGTGAACATGGGTTTATTACTTCTGGATTAATGTTAGATACCTCCCTGCGAGTCCCTGATTATTTGGGACAACCAGATGTTAAAAACCATTCTACTATCAGGAATCAGTATATTCAAACATCACCATCAAGTACAAGATCAATTGTAACCGAAGGTGGCTGTTCAAGATGTTGGGTGTCAGACTGTAAATGAAATTATCTGTGTTGTTGCTAGTGAACAGGTATCTCTTCCTGTATAAACATATGATGACATCAAATCAGATGCACAGAAAGGAATCCCAGTTTGCAACACGTTTGATGCTTTGTTTGACGAGATAAAATCTGATGCAAGAGGAGAAAACAACAAGGAGAAGTGGAACAAACTATGGATGTGGTGGTCGGCCTGCTTTTTACATTGTATAGATGAGTTCTTTATGGTCTTATGCGAATTAGATTGGGTCTCCTGTTAGAGGAGTTGGCATATAGATTTTTTATCTCAACAACAACATGAACGGAGACACCTTCATCATTAAAGTTAAAATCTTTACTGTACAGTGACTAGAAATCACATATGACTTGGAAATTTTTAAGAGAAATTAGTCAAGATGGCATTGTCACTTATGTATCATATCTTTTGTGTGGGAGCAGTAGTGACAATCAACTCACTATAGAAAGGGGGTTAGTTGAACTCTGCAAACCAGGAGATTCCATTGGCTGATTTGACCACCCCCAGAGGAATAAATTTGATTTTTCCTCCATTAAAGAAAAAGCAATTGAAATTTTCTGAACAGGATGTTATAAGAACAAAGGACATTGCAAATGGAAAGGATTAAGAATTTCCGCTTTGTACAAGGTGCCATTCCCATCCCCATGGCTAATCAGGCATCAAGGATATGGCGATGATGTGCAAGATTACAAGGTACAAATTACTTTTTTACAATTCGCATAGCATTTTTTACTTTTTGAGTCGAAATTGCATAGCATTTTAAAATTTTATGGAGCAAATTCTTCCATGAAATTGTATAGCACTTTTTTTTAATTATTTTTTAATGTTTAATAAAAGTTATGAATAATATCATTGAATAAATTGATTTTTGATTTTATCAATTTTAATACCATATAAATGAAAAAGAAGATGACATTAAACCCCAAATATGTTGCTCATTCCATTTGACACTCGAGTAAATTTTAAAAATCTGTCACCGTAAATAATGCACGCTTAGAACTACACGTTTACTTTTTATGATATTTCTTCAATAATGGATTGAGAAAGTCCTAACCAACCGATAATATTAAAACCTCGGGTTTGCGGTTTTTCTTACAGAAATGGATATTTAAAAGTTGTTATTATTTTGTTACAATAGGAGTGTTGTATTTCAATTGTTAAATGAGGAAGCATAGATTTTTTTCACCACGAAGGCCATATCCATTCTGCTCTACTCTATCTCCCCGAAGTGTCGTCTGCTATCCACCTCAGCATAATGTTCCTTATTTAGCACAATCCATGACTACGATACTATACTTTGAGTCTGTGCCGACTTTTAGTCCTCGAAAAATTTACTAAAAGGTGCGACAAATTAAGGGATTCTCCTTGTTTCAGACACCTAATCTTATTATGAGTTAATTTAATTTTTAGAAAATATGATGTATTGCAAAAAAAAATGCTCTACTGACGAAAATTACATCGCATTTTGCCGAATATTGTATCGCAAACTGTAATGTGATACCGCTTATTTTGTTCCTGGATTAACAAGCTTACAAACCTCTCTGGTTCCAGAAAGTAGATTTAGATCTGCTGATTGATCTGGAATATTTTAATAATGTGATGTCTAATTCTTTACTAGTATTTCTGCATAGAATTCTTGTTTTTATTGTCACATTGTTGTTTGCAATTGTTAAAGCCCACGCAGATATCATTGAAATCAAAGGGAGACAATTCATTTGCAACAGCAGTCCAGTTTTAAGTTGTTAAATATTATTGTTATTTTGTTGTTCTACTCATAATACCATGATAATTACCTTTTAAAGGCAGATGATATAACTGTTTTTATTTTTCAAATGTTATGTTAATATGTAGATGGGATACTCAACTTGTTTGTTTGGCGTGTTTGTATATATTTCTGTGCACAAACAAGCAATTTATTTTGTTTTCTGTGACAGACAATCAATTTGGAAATTCTCAATATTTTGATATTGAATCAACTTTTGCCATAACTCAAATTTAGATATTTATTTTAAATATAACAGTCACATACCTGGGAAATGTTGCACATAATTATATTATTAAACAACTGATTGAGCCTGTTTTCGACCTGAATCGATAATTTATTTTAGATTTCCCTGACATCCATAACTTAGATAAGCCAAGTAAACAAGTTGTTGGCCATGACTAAGCACCCACAAGATCAAAGGTCATAAGATGCTAGGTCATAACCTACAAGTTTTTTTACATGGCAAGTTATCATTAAGGAAGAAGTTTTCTAAATATTTAATGTGTATCAGGGACAATGATAGCATCTATTTGCATCATTCAAATTTTCAATCACACGTCTGTTCCTGCAATTCACTTAAAACGTTTGATGACGTCACTCATCGCAAATGGCCTTATGTGATAAAGCATACTTTGCTTAGTTAACCAACCTGCCTTGGATTTCTGACGGATTTCTGTCTTGGGATTTAATTTCTTCATCAGTGGCATAATGACAAAATTTATGGCCCAAAATCATAATCTCGTCAATATCACAATATCAAACAGAATAAGAAACCGTCGACCTCAGTTGCTTTTTACAGCTCATTTTCAAAACAATGTAAGTTGTATATATCCTTTTGTGAAAAATCTGGCACTCTTGAGAAATCATCGGTCCAAACTTTCAATTCGGTAGGATGCAAAAGAATTTCACTCAACCGTGTTGTTTGTTTTGACACTTTCCTTTCATTAAACTCTTTTCCTTGTCTTGGGTCACGTTCAGATCTAAATTTTCCCAGCCGCATTTCCACCTTTCACTCATTCTATCAGTGCCGCTTGTTCCCCTATACAGATTGTCCATGATCACTCTAACCTTTTCATACCTATGAGGATAAACCTTTCTAATCTATCATTATTTACACGCCCTTCGTCAATCTGTCAAACGATAGCCCCCAGAAGTAGCTAGCGCCAGTAGCATCTGATTTATTAAGGGGAGATAACCTCGTTATCGGAAAGGGCTATACGTAAAGGCATGAAAATTGATACTGAAAGTGAAGATAGATTGTGATCTATGTAGAGAACTTCAGTAAATCTTCTCCATATACATTTATAGTGTAAAATAGGCTATAACTTAATTAAACTTATTATACCACATCTAAGCACCCTCTACTAGTAATGTTAATTAAAACTAAAAGCCCAAAGTAATTTTTTTATATCCAGTTATAAGAATATTGAGAATATATTTTTAATCTTTTAGATGATTTTTAATGTGTAATCGTTGATTTCACTTCAGGAATTGTGGAGAATAGTTATGCACACAATGGAGAAAACGGTTGTTTTACCTCCTTTATCTGATCCAAGACAGGTACGATATTTCAATAATTTTAAAACTTTAAATAATTAGTAATTTTGATCTGATTTCGATGGAACGTGACATTCATGAATATATGAGAGTATATCAACGTGTCCCCAGATATTGATATTACTTCTGTTTGATTGTATTGGTTGTAAGCCTTGAATTGGGTGCAAATATATATCATAAATGAAAATGAAACCTGGACACATTAATATTTATACAGACACATGAAAAAGTGGGCGTATATTGCCATCGCCCCTGTCCGTCGGTTCACATTTCTTGTAGGCTACAGTTTTTATACGATCTTAATGAAACTTGGTATGTATGTAGATATTGATGAGATCTCGGTCAAATTCGGAATTGGTAATAATCAGTTGAACAGTTTCAGAGTTATTGCCCTTGACTTAGTAAAAACGTGTTAAATGTGGCTTGTAGGCACGACAGAGACTACAGTTTTTATCTGATCTTGATGAAATTTGGTATGCATGTATTTATTGATGAGACTTGATCAAGTTAGAAATTGGTTATAATTGAGAACAGTTTCAGAGTTATTGCCCTTGTGTGTACAGCGATGAGACATTGTTCATATTTTAATTTGATGAACTGTTTCAGGTTTTTGCCTTGACTTATAGATGATTTTAAGATTATTTGAAAATTCATAATTAAGCCACTAAAGGTTTTGTTATCATTTCTGACAGCTGGTAGTTGGTGTATGTTATCTTGCCTGGCAAGCTACCTTCAAATGATTTCAGAATAAATGAAATAATCTGACGATTTACTATTTATTACTGTTTTTTCTGTTTATCATATTACCATGATATGATAATAATGCCATTCCTCTATGTTTATCTAACATTTTTAATGCTATATTATTTCAAATAGAGTTCAGAAACGGTAAGGCTATTATTAACATGTATTTGGTGATGGAATATATTGTGCATAATTTAAAAATAACAAACTCCAGCATTTTTCAAAAGGAAATTAATATTTCAAATGGCTAATTTTAAAAATTGCTGTGTGTATTTGTGCATGTTTAGCCATAACTTGCCTCTACCAGATTGGTTCATATGAAAATTTCACAGATACAAAGTTCATGTAGCTCTTTATCGTGGAGACTTTTCTTACTCTTCAAATAGGAAAAAGGTTTTTAGTAGCTGAAATATATATTACAATTATTTTTGTTAATAAAATAAAAATACTTTGAAATTGTACTTTTATTAACTTGTTACTTTTTATTTTGTTGCTACATGAACATGTAAAGTTTTACATCTGAGAGTTAAATTACTAAAACAGCATCTTGGATGTACTAGTCATTTTTAAAATCAAACTTTTCCTTTGTCTAACCTGTGTTTGGAGAAAAATATAACCTAACTTTTGCTTTCAGCTTCTTTCTTCTGTAGTGGGTGAAGGAAGTAGTAAATGGGATGAATTTACTAGGTTTTTCTCCCTCCCTGGTGTAAGTTTCTACAGGGGAGATAATTCTAATCTTGATAACTTGATTTATTCTGTAACATCTTGGATTGTATAACAATATACTCTTTAAAACATACTCTCATATTGGAGTGATTTTTGCAAACTGAAGTACAAGGTCAAGATCTAGAAAAGAGAGCAATGTATTTTGGCACTTAAAATGATGATGAAATGATATACTCACATAGTATTATTTATTGTCAGTCTATTCTCGACTCTCAAAATATACTAAAGAAAACTAATTTTGGGTCATTGTATATCATTATACAAATCTGAGGTGTTGAGATCAAGATCAAATCTATCAAAAGTTTTTTCATTTTAGCTGTTCTGTAACTATTTTTAACCTGGATATTTTTTATTGCTGGCGTAAAAGCATGATTATGGCAAAGTGTTTTTCAATCCTACTCATGTTTTCAGCTCTTACCCTTACCTGGCAATGCTAAAGCTAAAGTTGAGGATATGTCTCGTATTTTGCTGAATCATGTCAGCCAGATTCCTAGTAACAATCCTATGAAACAAGTGAAGACTTTACAAGCAACATTCTTGGTATACCCTCCTTGTTGTAAAATTGTTGTTGTTTTTTTGTAGTTCTTATTCTTTTTAATGACCTAGAAATTCAGCCACAGAAGTTGTACTGCTTAGTTTTATTCAACTGCCAGTAGCAGAGTTCTGGAAACTAATGTATAGAACAAAATTTTTTGACGAATTTCTGGGTCTTCCAATTGTTGATATTTTGGTTATTAAAGTACTTGTTCACAAATAACACAGTGTAATTTCATAGAAATGCTTTTCCCTTTGTTACTACTACCTCTGTCTAATTTTGAGTTCAATATTGTTTTCACTAGCTTTTCACTTGCTCTTTGTTATCTTAGTTTGAATTTTTTTTTCTACTAGTACATTTTTTATATAAACTTTATATTTTAGTAGAATCATGTCTGTATTAATATATTATTTAGTAATTAAAATCTTCCTTCTCATCTTTTTATATCGATGCCAAATCAAATAGCTCAAACTTGTAAGCAGTTGATTCCTTTATACAACTTTCCATTATTTTTTAGTTTTTGATATTTTAACATATATAGATTCAATAAAATTAGCCCAATTAGATGCACGGTATGCACCATAAAGAATAATATTTAATGTATTTAAAAATTTACTAATTTCATACTAAATTTCCATGGTTCTTTTCTTCAAAACTCACAGTTGGTATCTTATAGCTATTATGACAGTAAGATATAATATTTCCTACTCTCAAAAAGATATATTCTATGCTCCCAGTTTATTTTGAAACCTATTGGTATTATTCACACAAAGTGCTAACTCAAACAAATGTTAGATTTAAATTTTAACTCCTGAAAACCATGTAAGGGAGACCAGACAATCTCTGACATTTTTTTAATACAAATTACACAGTAATGTCTACAACTTAATCATAAACTATAAATAATCATCTATTTTGAAACATTTCTGCTCTAAGTTAAGCATTAAACTAACCAATATTAAATACATAAAAGATAATTCTATATGGTACATTAAATTAAATTTGAGGTTATTCTGGGAAAAAAAGTTCAATTCAGCTTAAATTTATGGTTTACATGGCCTATATAATTATAAAGTTAGAATAGCATAGTCTCATAAAAGCACTGGCCAAGATAAAACAAACAATGAAAGAGATATGTTAATTATTAGTGATCATTATTAAACTATTTTCATTTGTCGAAATCTACCCTCTTCTGATATGTTATTTATATTTAACACTGAATCTGTTATATGAAAACATTTAAACTCATTGGCAAAAAGAAATGAGTTACATTATTAACTGAAAGATATACTGTACATCCTAGAAAACTAAATAAAACCTAAATATTGAGAATTCTTTCGTTCCATGATATGAGAGGCATAAGCAGCATTATGATTCTAGGTTGTGACAAAAAAGGTGTAAATTTGTGATCCTGAATAATGAAAATGTTTCATTAACTTTCAATCAAATTTCATAAAACTTAGTATGTGGATATATGATAGAAACTTTGGTGGAATTATAGATCTATTGAAATATTTCAATAATTTTAGAATTTTCTTTTCCTGAATTACAATGATTAATTATGTTTAAAAAATATTCCCACAAAAAAAAGAATGTATTCAGCAAGAAATCAGTAATAATAATATTTTTTCTGTAGGATATGTCGAAAGAAGCAGAAAAGAATCTAAGCCCAAAACAGTGTGCAGTGCTCGATATGGCTCTGGATACTATTAAACAGTATTTCCATGCTGGTGGTCAAGGCTTGAAGAAGACCTTTTTGGATAAGAGCCCTGAGCTACAATCATTGCGTTATGCTTTATCACTATATACTCAAACTACAGATACTCTTATTAAAACATTTGTTGGTTCTCAAACATCACAAGGTTAGTGATTAATTTTTGTTCTATTTGTTCAGGTGAGGTTTGGGGCTGTTCAAACTGAGATGACATGATCATGTGACAAGCTGAGCTAATTAAGAATTTTAAATGATATGCTCATTTTCTCACTAATTATTTAAAGAGTTTTTATTTGCTATTTTAATTAAGCAACAAAAATCTACAGAATTATGGTATACATATATTCCTCCAAAGAATCTTGGCTTGTGTAGAGATAGGGCAAATTTGAAAATGCCTCAAGACAAGGTGGAAGTATCAATTCATCAGTTTATTGGTCTGTTTGCACATTTCTTGTCAGCAGAAAGAAACCTTTTTGATGAAACTTGACAAAATCCTAAATAAGTTTTAAATGACACTGTTTCAAAGAATTGTTTTCAAGTTACTTCCCTTGACTTGACAAACATACATAAAAATCAGATTGTTAATGAAACTTGGTATGCTGTATCAATGTGGATTGATGAGTTTCTGGACGAGTTGACTATAGAGTTTTGACTTGTTTGTCTTACCTGCCTCTATAGTGGGTGTGTGGCAGCTATATTTCTTCAATAAATATGCCAACTACTTGTAATAAATATGGTAGTCCAATGGTGGTCAGACAATCTAAATATTTTTTGAAAATAATGAACTTTAGTCTGATATATGATGTCACAGCTCTCACAGCTATTTAACATGAAAGATGAAGCTGAACCAAAAGTGACATATTGTCAAATAGAACAATTAAAACTTGTTAGCCTCTAATAAATATATTGACTGGATGTTATTTGCTGCAGTGTGAAACATTAGATACAATTTAAATATCCATAAAAAAAATCATGCCATCTTTGTTGTTAACATTAAACTTATGATTTAAATGTTTTATGCTATTTTGAAATTTTTTCCCCTCTATGCAAAAGGGTTGGTGAATACATGTTTTATGTTAAATTGTTACATACTCTGTCTACAATCAGTTATAATGTATATCTTTCAGATCAACCTAGCATTGGTGATGCTGTTGGTGAAGTTTCTATTCAAGTTGATTTATTTACACATCCTGGTACAGGTGAACATAAAGTTACAGTAAAAGGTAACATGGAATATAGACATGCTTGTAGTTTTGGCTGCAACATAATTGACAGAGACGTTAGCCTATTTATATTTTCCTACATTCTCAGTTAATAAATGAATTGATACAATGTAGCTGAAAGGATCAAACTACCATCTTGATAAAAAGATGTTGTGAGGCTTTATCTGAAAGCTTAATTAAAATGCTTTCAATTGGCTTTTTGAGCACACAAAGGGTGCTGATACATTCTGATGTATATAAACGTACATTGCCGTTGCCCCTGTCCCTCCGCAGGTCTGTCCAAAATTAGCTTGTGAACTTGATAGGTACCACAATTTTTAGGTGATTTTTATAAAATTTGATGTGTAAGGCATTTGTGTTATTGCTATGGATTTGAAAAAAATTTGGAATTAATATAATAAGTCACTGCCATGTATTATGAAGATCTTTAAAATAATAAAATTCATATTTGAGTCCTTAAAGACTGTTCTTGTTTCTGACAGTTTGTATTTGGCGTATGTTTTCTTGCCTGCCAAGCTATCTTATCTGATTTCTATGAATTTTATGTGATCATATTGATGAGATCTTGGACAAGTTCTAAATTGAGGATTTGTTTAACAGTTTATGAGTTATTGCCCTTGACTTAGTAAAATGCATCAAAATTTTATTATGAGCATAATAGAAGCTACAATTTTCCATTGATTTCAATGAATCGTGTGATCATATTATATTGATAAGATCTCAGACAAGTTCGAATTTGATTTTATTTTTTTAAAGTTTTGCATTAAGTCCAAACACATCGATATTTGTTTTTGAGCACTAAAGAGATTACAATTTTTTTATGATTATGATTAAATTTGGTTTGATCATTAATATTGATGAGATTTTAGACAAGTTTAAATTTGACATTTTGATATTTAGCACAATAGAACCTGCAATTTTCAATCGATTTGAAACTTGTGATCATTGGAATTTATAAGATTACTTTGGAAATGATTGTTGCAATAGAAACTCGACAGATTAATCATTATGATTCATGCTGGTCTTTATTGAATACAAAAAGTTAATAAAGCTGCTGTGGGTGTATTATTATCTTGCCTGACCTGGCCAGGTACAAGGGGCTGACATGGAAAAAGCGTCTAGTCATATGGATCGGACAATAAACCAAGGCTTTGTGGGCTACAGGCTGTGCACGTTAAAGATCCCTCGACAGTTGGAAATCGAAAAAGAGCCCTGGCAAAATTTCCCTCATTGCACCGTGCATGGCGTTGCCCGTCTTCATTAGCCAACATGGTGCAGAAAAGTAGGACGTAAAACTCCATTCATTTCATTTCATTTCATTTTGCCTGACCTGGCAAGCTATCTTCTGAGTATTGAATAGAAACTTGACAGATTATTCATGCTGTGTGGGCATATGTTTACTTTGCCTGGAAAGCTAACTTTAAAAAATTTGGTGTGTATGTTTCAAATTTGAGTATGATTTGACAAGGGTATATCAAGCCTTGATTCACTGCATTGATGTTAAATATGGCTTGTGAAGGTGATAGAGGCCACTGTTTTTATCCGATATTGATAAAATTTGATATATAGGTTTATATCCACAGGATCTTGGACATGTTAGAATTTGGGTACAATTTAAAGTAATATGTATATGTAATAAATAATATTTAATAATTAATGTGTACTTACCTAGCAAACCTTTTATTTTATAGTTGTGGCAGCCAATGATTTGAAGTGGCAGACTACTGGAATGTTCAGGCCTTTTGTTGAAGTTCACTTGATAGGACCTCATCTAAGTGATAAAAAACGTAAACATTCCACAAAATCAAAAAGTAACAACTGGTCACCAAAGTATAATGAAACTTTCCATTTGTGAGTTAAAATAAATTTCACCTTTATAACATTTATACTGTAATGATTAGAAACAATTATCTTAGCATAGGTGAAGATAGTACTTATAGTCTTCTTAACCAATATCTAATTATATTGATGGTAAAGGGACATGAAGAATTTCATTGGAATCGGCATGTTAACATAAAAAAGCTTAAGTTTTCATCTGTTTTTGATTAACCTGATCAGGTTGCTAAAAAAGATTCTGTGCTTAGGAAAGTGACTGATTATATATGTATGACAGTATGACATAGTTTTTAGTTTGCATAATCACAATTTCTTCAATCGTTTCAAATTTTCAATTTAGATTTTAAGGTTAAGTTTTGCTTTTTCAGTATTCTTGGAAATGAAGATGAACCAGATGCATATGAGCTCCATATTTGTGTGAAAGATTATTGTTTTGCTAGAGAAGACAGACTTATAGGAGTTGCTGTTATGCAATTGCGTGACATTATTGAACAAGGAAGCTGTGCTTGCTGGTGTTCATTGGGTCGTCGTGTTCATTTAGATGACACGGGATGGACAATCTTGCGCATTCTATCACAAAGGACAAACGATGAAGTTGCCAAAGAGTTTGTGAAACTTAAGTCTGAGTGTCGTCACATAGAAGAAGTGGTGCCATCCTGAATAATTGCCAAAAACTTGTTTCGTATAAATGGAAGAAATTGCAACATGATATGCTTGTTGTTATGGTAATTTTCTTTCTGAAGAATCTGACCTATTGAGAAATTGAATAAGATCAAGATAGTAAACAACATGTTTTTGTTCAGAATTATGAAGTGACAAATGCCATGAATTCAATCAGTTTGACGCTCAATATAATATTTGAGTGAAAGTAAATTGGCATGATGGATTGAAAAAGAAACATGAATATTTTACACAAATAACACCTGGCTTGGTACTGGGTCTTGTCAGTGGGATTATGAAACATTAATATTTTACACAAATAACAACCGTCTTGGTACTGGGTCTTGGCAGTGGGATTATGAAACATTAATATTTTACACAAATAACAACTGTCTTGGTACTGGGTCTTAACTGGCAGTGGTCTTTCCTTAATTAGGCTTATTAATTGAAGAATGTAAAAGGTCCATTATCCAGTTTATAACCCAGGTTCATTTTGTTAAACAATATGAGCCTGATTATTGTATGAATTAACCATGTGTGTCTGAAGCATATACATGTATTTTTTCCATGTATTAGTTTTTTTTAATTATTTATCTCATAAACAGAAAGAAATACTTTGTTACTTAAAGGGGTTGTAAAGAGGTTTTCTAAAAAAATTTATGCATATCAGGAACACTGAAAGCATCAATTTTCAAGCAGACATTCCTGCAATTCCACAAAAACTAGTTGTTTGATGAATGTCACTAATCATGAAATTTGCTTTATCACACAAAACTCTTTGCGATTATTGACGTCATCAAACACTTAGTTTTAGTAGAATTGCCACAAACTTGGAAATTGGAATGGTGCAAATTGATGCTTTCAGTGTCCCCGAAAGGCATGAAAAAATTAGAAAAGCTCTTTACAATCCCTTTAAAGTATCATTAAACAATCTGTCTAAATGTTATTCAGTAACAACATTACAAAAAGATAATTTTCATTAATTGTTTAGACAAATGTAATTTTTTGTCCAAATCGAGAAAGCAAATATGCAGAAAAATTGTTTCCTTTGTTACAAGGACCAAGATTTAGGAAACAAACTGCTGGGAAGGTTAATGTATTCCAATTATTTTCATCTGGTATATTTTCTTGTGTTAACTTAAATGTAGAAATCACATGAAAACAGAATTACTATGTCTTGGATCAGTAATTTTCAAAGTTTTCTTTTTGTGATAACAAGTTTTTCACTCTTTTTACAATAACATCAGAAATTAAAAATCTTTTCATTTGAAGCTCTTAATCTTGGCGAGAACGCCCTTGAATAATTATATGCCTGGCAACACCTAGTGTCAGTATCCCATATTGGACGCATTGGCGTTTCTACGGAAAAAATTCTGACTCGGATTTCCCACATTGGACCACCTGGCCCATATAAAGATATAGGCTACTCGGTCCAAATTCGGTAATATTTCAATTTTGAGGTAAATGCAATGAAAAGGGGTTTGTTGTCCACTCAGCACCCAAATGGTAAGGGTTATGTCGGAGATATGAAGTCTTTTTTTGCAATGTGGGAAATTTTGCCTAGGCAGCGGCGGTCTTAATCCTATTCCAACAGCCCCAGATATTTGTCACGGGGGTTTATTATCTCATCCGCAAGACGTCAGTCAGTCCCACTGACAAGGGGGGACCCGGACAGAACATCCACCAAGTACGAAAGCATCCTCGACTGGGATTTGAACCCTGGATCCCCTTACTAACAGTCAAATGACCACAGAGCCACCGCGGCATAAATTGATTTCAAAACTAAATTGTAGGCCAAAATAAACTTAACCAAGCTTTAAAAACAACCTAAATATAAAAAAAAAACAACACAATACTAGAAATGTGACAGTTTCGAGTGTCGCAACGAGACCTTTTGAAACTTCTAATCTGTTTTTCAACCTCA